CTCCGACTTCGGAATGAAATGTTCCCTATTCACTTCTCATATGTTGCCTGACTACAATATTTGATCTTGATACGTTAATAAATACATGCTGTGTTAATTTTGGCATGTTTACCTGCCTACGTACTGTAGATAGCAAGCCCATAAAGCATGAGGTAATACAGTAGGGGGAGTGCTAGTGCTTCTCAAATGTATTGTTTTATGCATTCTCCACACTCGTTCTCACAAGAACGTACCCACAGCCAACTCAATGGTTTAGTAATTCTTCTTGGGAGGGTCTAGGTTTGTGTTGCACTGTCTGTTAGAAAAGTTGGGGAGGTTTCAACTTGTGATGCAATGCATGCTGGTTTAACACGGAAAGGTCAATCAACTGAAAACAAAGTATAATATTTCTCCCACCTTATTTCTCCCCACTTGACCACACCCCTGCATTGGCAAATGTATTGTATGCGTTTTGGTTTGAAAGATTTTGATAAAGACACTCCCATTGGTTAGCTCCTCTTATGACTTTGAGGAATAGAACAGGTACCAGCACAGTAAATCTGTGTGTGCTCATATGTCATTACTGTTCCCAAAACAGCCACAGCCACACACGCATGTTCCAACTTCAACTATAACTCAGGAAGGAAAGGACAGAAGGTATATATACTGTATAATGAATCATTATGAACTTTAACGCTAACCCCTGGTGTACAAAGACAAATCATTAGCATGTCAAGTGTTTGGCTACGGCCTACGTGAGGAGTATAGATTGATCAGTGTTCAGCTGCCCCTTCCCTCTACCCAGTGATACAGTTCCAAGTTATAAAGACACTTTTTTTGTTGTTTTGGCTCTGTACTCCAGCACTTTACAATGACTATGAGGTTAAATTGCAGACTGTCAGCTTTAATTTGAGGGTATTTTCATCCATATCGGGTGAAACGTTTAGAACTTTTTGTACATAGTCCCCCCATTTTAGGGGACCAAAAGTATTGTGTCGTGTATTAAAGTAGTAAAAAGTTAATTATTTGGTCCCATATTCATAGCACGCAGTGACTACAACAAGCTTGTGACTACACATTTGTTGGATGCATTAGCTGTTTGTTTAGGTTGTTTTTCAGAATATTTCTGTCACGACTTCCGCCGAGGCTGCCCCCCCTCCTGGTTCGGGCAGGCTCCGGCGTTCGTCGTCACCGGAGTGCTATCTACTGCCGATCCCATTCTCATCACTCCACTTGTCATGTCTTGTCAATCACACACACCTGGTTTCCCTAATTAGTATGTGTATAAGTGTTCCCTCTGTTCCCCTTGTCTTTGTGAGTGATTGTTTGTTGTGAGAGCGTGTAGCGCGATTGAGCGACATTTCACTGTGTTATTGCCAAGGTGGATGTTTTCCCTTGTATAGTTTCGTCTGACGCTTGGAGCGTTTGATTTATGCAAACGGATTAAACTTTGGACTTCGGTATTTTACCTCCTGCGCCTGATTCACACCTCGTCACAATTTTGTGCCCAATAGAAATGGGAAATAATGTATTTTCATCCATATTGGGTGAACCGTTTAGAATATACAACACTTTTTTGAAATGTAAATAATGTATTGTGTCATTTTGGAGTCACTTTTATTGTAAATAAAAATAGAACATGTTTCTAAACACTTCTACATTAATGTGGATGCAACCATGATTAATGTTAGAAGTGTTTAGAAACATATTCTATTCTTATTTATAATAAAAGTGACTCCAAAATGACACAATACATTATTTACATTTCATTTCTATTGGGTACAAAATAATCTGAAACACAACCAAAACAATCAGCAAATGCATCTACCAAATTTGTAGTCACAAGCTTGTAGTCATTGCGTGCTATGAATATGTGACCAAAGAATTACCTTTTTACTCCTTTAATACACATGGGGGGACTATGTACAAAAAGTGTTGTATATTCCAAACGGTTCACCCAATATGGATGAAAATACCCTCAAATTAAAGCTCATAGTGTGTACGTTAACCTCATAGTCTTTAACCTCATTGTATCATTTCAAATCCAAAGTGCTGGAGTACAGAGCCAAAACATTTTTTTAAATTCACTGTCCCAATACTTTTGGAGCTCACTGTGTGTGTGTGTGTGTGTATGCCTGCATACTCTTGCTCTTTTGCAGGGTTATGTCAAAGGATCCTCCTCACAAATACCCAGCAGGGAACACGTTGTGCCCTCAGCATGTCTGTCTCTGTCCTTCATTAGGCCATGAGCCAGGAAAGAGGGAGAGAGAGAGGAAGGAAGGAAGGAAGGAAGGAAGGAAGGAAGGAAGGAAGGAAGGAAGGAAGGAAGGAAGGAAGGAAGGAAGGAAGGAAGGAAGGAAGGAAGGAAGGGAAAGACAGACAGACAGACAGACAGACAGACAGACAGACAGACAGACAGACAGACAGACAGACAGACAGACAGACAGACAGACAGACAGACAGAGAGGAAGAGGGAGATGAAAGAGAGAGAGAATTAGGAAGTGAGGGGGAGAGAAAGAGAGAAATGGTGAGGGAAAGGGATTGAGGGAAAGAGAAAGGTGTAGAGATAAGAAAGAAGGAAGCTCTGATCCAGTGGGGGGGCCTAAACAGACCTAAACAGGACCCAGGATTGATGGCTGACGGGATGCCTTGTTAAAATATCCCAGTGTGGAACCCAGGGAGGTGCCAGCCTGTGAGCTTCCTTCTCATTTACACACAGTCAGACACACAGGCTCTATGGGACAGAGAGAGAGAGAGAGCGAAAGAGAGAACTAGCTAGGATACGAGAGAGAGAGTTAGCATGAGGATAGAGATAAAAAAAAGGAAGATGAGGTCTGGAGATTGAAGTAAGGGGTAGGGTGAACATGAAGAAAAAGAAGATTGGGAGAATTGGTACAGAGAGATGTGAGAGAGGGATTCAAAAGAGACTGGGAAGTGTACATACACGACAGAGAGAGAGGGAAAATAGAGTGATGAGATAGAGATGGAAGTGCTGAGAAATGAAGAGAAAGGGAGACAAAAAGAGAGTGAGAGAACCAGCAGCACACATCCCTTTTCTTTATTTATACCAGCAGCAGGCTAATATTTCTGGCACCAAAACAACGTCACGATTGCTATTTCAGTCAGAGGGGCAACATTTCAGAGTGGGGTTGGATGACGGGGCTGAGGCGTCGTGTGGCCAAGGGACTTCCGTACACCTACAGCCCTAAAAAAATGACATTTCACACTGTAGCTACCTCCCCTGGCCGTGTGTGTGTGAGAGAGAACCTCTCTCTCTCTCGCTCTGTGTGTGTGTGTAGTTGTGTGCGTGTGTGTTTGAGAGAAAGACACTGAAGGAGAGAGTGTGTTTATTATCTATTTCACTTGCTTTGGCATGCCAATAAAGCCCCTTAAATTGAAAAAAAAATTAATTGAGTAATTGTGTGTGTGAAAGAGAGACAGAGATTGAAATTGAATTGAGCGAGAGAGAGAGAGAGGCTAGAGATAGTGTGTGAGAGATAGAGAGAGAGAAAGCGAGAGAGAGAGAGAGAGACAGAGAGAGAGAGAGAGAGATAGAGAGAGAGAGAGAAGAGAGAAGAGAGAGAGATAGCAGAGAGAGAGAGAGAGAGAGAGAGAGCAGAGAGATGGAGAGAGGAGAGAGAGAGAGCTAGAGAGAGAGAGAGAGAGAGGAGAGAGAGAGGGATGAGAGACGATCAGAGGAGAGAGAGAGAGAGGAGAGAGATAGAGAGAGAGAGAGAGAGAGAGGAGAGGAGAGAGAGAGAGAAATTGTAAGTGTGTTAGAGAGGGCCCACCTGCTGTGTGTCTTGAGTAGCAGACAAGGTGGCAAACAGCCTCTGGGTTGTTCATGCAGTTTTATGAGGAGAGTACCTCAGGGCATGAAAACACATCTAACAATACTTAGACCCCCAACAGTCTTCTCACGCAACCCCAGTCTGTGTTAGCCTGCCTGGTAACAGGGTTGGAGAGAGTGAGACGCTATCCTAAAGTAAAAACCCTATTATTATGGCCATAGGCACTTATGTACTGAGCATTTACTAACATATGTAGATATCATATGGTAAAGTGTTGAAAGAGACAGGTGCAAACTTTGCACTGGTGCAAACCAATGACTTATGGTGCAAACACTTAGTAAATCTAGCCCAGAATGTATAACTGTGCACTGACTCAGTGTTTAGTCAAAGTTAAGTTATTCACATAAATAGGGATTTCATAGGTGGTGGTCTTTCCCAAGATATTGCTTCTCCATGATCAGATTGACCAGAAATCCTTTCAATGTCCATGTATCCTGTCATCCGCTGTCTCAGAACCAATTTGGCGCTGGAGTAGTTTCCTCCCCCTCTCGCCTTCATTCAGCTCCAGCTAATGAAGCATACGTCAGCTAGTCATAGTTAGCTTGGCCTCAGGCATTGATGCCACCTTCCCTGAGACCTAAAGTAGCTGACTCCCCTGAACAGTAGTAGCTGAGCGAGTTGCTTTCAATGTTTAGTGGCACTCAGGGTTGCTTCAGTATGGTATTGAATCTCAATAGTGTTGTACATGGAAATAGCTACACCATGTCACCACCAACCAATGAAATAACAATACAAATCATGGTGATGGAATTCCAAAGATAGTTGGAGTCAGTTTGTCAAAGCACTGTTGTGTTTATTTATTATCAAGAGAGAAAAAAGGACAGCAAAAGCATGACATAGTCATAACTGTATGTCTCACTATGGTTACTTGAACATTTTCAAATGCGTTACTTTGATAATATGATACAGTAAAACATACTATAGACAGTTAGCATGTTGCTTCTGTGCTGACAGGACAGGATCAACTCTCACTTGACTTGTTGGCCATTTTAAAAACAAGCCAACATGGCACTTATTAGGGTTGAGTTACATACATACATAAAGGGACATGCACCCGCAAGTAAGGGGGGCATGCTATATCGCATTTTACACAGCCATCCAAAAATCACCAATACAAAATAAATAAATAAAGAAAGAAAGAAAGAAAGAAAGAAAGAAAGAAAGAAAGAGAAAGAAAGAAAGAAAGAAAGAGAAGTTAAGAGAGTGAGAGAAATTAAGAAGTAAAATATGTTTGGCACAGGAGAAGGGAAGGCCACAGTAACACTGGAGACTGATCAGGAGTCAACCATTTTGTTTCTTATAGACCACACATATACAGTCATGTGAGTAATCTCATAGAACATCTCTTAAAGCACTTTTTTTTTAAAAGCCAGATAGAAAGAACAGTCTTTAGTATTTACAGAGAGGGCAGGACAATGTCATCTGGGTCCTGTGTGTTGAATTGGGGTAGGGGAGGCAGGGTTTAGAGGGGGCGGGGCATGTGTCTCTCACATGATGGCAGTCTCAGTGTGGAGCAAATAGGAGCAGAAAGATTGCTGTTTCAGGGCAGGGCTTGGGGTTCTTGCTATGGGGCTAGGGGTGCGTGCCAAGGTGCTTGGGGGGCGGGACAATGGACCGGAGGGGACAGAGATCAAGGCGGTGGGGGCACAGCAAGCCCACCTGGATGGAGGACGTTGATTGGCTGGGCGAGCAGGACGAGAGAAGTTCCTTGTGGGGGTTGCTGGGGACGACTCAGCTAGACTCATCTGGAGAGAAACAATACGAGTGGGTCAGATCAAGACTGTGTGTGTGTGTGTTTGTGTTTGCTATGCCTATCTCACCTGCTGTGTGTACTGTCTATAGGCAGTCTGTGCGGCTTGGGGGCAGGAGCTGTACTCGTGCTCGATGTCCAGCATATCCAGTAGCTCAATGAGTCCATCATCCTTCTTCTGATCTGCAACTGGCCCTCTCCTCTGGATCCTCTGAGCCCCAACATGGGACCCACTCAGGTTTCTGTAGTCCACTCTGGGCTCCCCAGGCTGGGGTGCAGGCCTCCTGGCCCTCTCCCCCTGGACCAGACCCATGTCTCTGTCTCTGTCTGCCCTTCCGAGGGCCCTTGCTTTGGGCTTGGGGCTGCCTCCTACCTGGGACCTCCTCTGACCCCCTGCCTGGAGTCCTTTAGGGTGAGCATAGCTACCCATTGAGGTGCTTCTACCCTCACCCAGCTGGCTCTCTCTCCTAAAGTCTCTCACTGCCCCTCGTTCTTGGCTGGAGTCCATCCTCCCTGTCAGCACGACGGAATCTGCTTGGCATTTCCGGACAGGCACGCGCCCGGTCGTCCTGCTGCCGCCCAGCCCTTTGCGCTGACAGACGGGGGTGGGGCACTTGTTCTCGGTAGGCACCTGGTTGGTCACCACACCGGTATCGGTGAGGGTTTTGCCCTCATTCTCCTGAAGCATGGCCCCAAACTTCCTGAGGACCGAGGGGCTACCACACTTCTTGTCCACAAGGACCCCAGGGGCATTGGACTTCCTGTCCAGGGCTGGGGAGAAGGTGTCGGGAGGGGCCATCTGGGAGGTGGATCGGGGGGGTATGGGAGGACCTTCTCTCTGTCTGAGGGGGGGCTTGGCCCCTGTGTTCTCCTTGTTAAGGTCCCTGCAAGGGGAACTCTTTCTGTGTGATACACTGTTCTTCCTGTTCTCAGCCTCCTCGTCCGCAAACCGCACCTGACTAATCCTAAAACAGATCAACAAGCAAAAAAATGTAATCAATAAGATTACTAAAATAAGGAAATGTATAGGTGGATTGAACTCTCATAAATGATATTCACAAAATTATGTTCACAAAATTATGTTCACAAAATGATGAGGTCTGTGGATATCCTTCTCTTACCTTTCATTCCCAACAGGCCTCCTCTTCATCTCATCCTGGTGTACAGACTGATCCTGGCTCCCTTTGGTGATCTCTTTCAGATGCTGAGAGAGAAGTGGAACAAGGGTTACTTGGGAGGGAAAATAATTGGTGAAGCAGAATAGTGTAAATAGCATAGATTCAGCATATCAAATTCAGCTATGCAGCCACACTGGCATGGCTTATGCAATTTCCAGTGGAGTATGAAGCCATGCCAGTTCTATGTAATCTATTTATATTTATGTTCCTGAAAACAACCCTGCCTAGCCCCTGCCCCTCCAGTGTTGGCAGACTTGAAGGAACCATATAGGTGTAATCAATATGGTGGTGGTCCCATCTAGTCTTCCAATGAGCTAAGGGGAGATTCTACCATATTGCTTTCACCTATCAGATTTCTTCCTATCTGCAAACACCAAAGGGGTAACTGTAACCCTTAGTTACTGTAGCTACTCACATTGTTGAGAGCTGAGTTGGTCTTCCGGGTCTTTCCGTGACCATGTCCAAGATAATCCTGCAACAAGTCTCCAAGTTCCACCGCACTGTGGCTATGGGGATAACCATAGCCGTCATTCTGATGGCTGACAGGGTAGCTGTAACCGTTGGGGCCGTGATTAAAACCATTGCTACAGTGATTTGGCACGTCTACAGCACTGGGGTGGTCCTTGGTGGCATTGCTGTGGCTGCCATATGGGTCACAGAAGCCGTTGTCATGGTGCCCAGGTCCGAAATCAATCATCCTATCATTTTTGCTGTTGTCCATGGTGACATCATTTCCGCCTCTACGAGCCTGCACCTCGTTGTAAAGCTGAAATATGCGCATAGGCATTATGATTATTATCAAAAACCTACATTCACAACATGAACACAAGTTTTATACATACAACAAATCTTTATACTTACAACGTAGACGTGTTCCGAAACATAAATGTCAATACAAAAGCACTGTTTACCAATACGTACAAAAAACACTTCTGTACGTACGACAATGTCAACCAGCCTTGTTTACACAATCCATCAAAACCATCCCAAAACAGTTACACAACCCCGACTATTTTTTATAATCTGCACATCTGTTACTTCAGCTGGAGTGAGTGTGTGCTTACTTTGCTATTCCAAGCTTTAATGTGTTCATTAGTATCAACTTTCACAGTGTGTGTGTGTGTGTTCTGACTGTCTGTCAGCACATCACAGTTTAATTAGCTTGTTAACGTGTCTGTATCATTAGTCCAAAGGGGGCATGGGGTCGCAGGAAGGGGTGTGCTGCCAACAGTTTATTATAGGACACACACACACACACAAACAGTTAAACACTCTTCAGGGACGACCAAGAGTGTGAGACGAGAAAGACATTATCTCAAAGTGAAAATATTCACAAGTATGTTCACACTACTAATGTAGTGAACCCCATGTCAGGTAATGTTACTCTACCTAGGATCTTGTTTGACCATGTCAGAACTGGGCTTGAGCATGTTGGACAATGTTTGGACTATCCCATGTATTTGGATCATGTTTTACTTTAGTTTGGACCATGTTGGACTGTATCTGACCGTGGTTGACCACTCACCTCCTCTATCTTCCTCTGCATGTCCTGCAGCTGGTCCTCCCATTCCTGCATCTCTGAGTCGAAGCTGTCCAGAAGCTCCCCCCTCTCTGTTCCCCAGCCCCTCCCAGACCGCTCCAGACCGTGCTGCAGTTCGATGGCCGCCATTTTGGGCCACTTCCTGCAGCAGCTTCTTACTTCCTGTCACAACTTTCTTTTTTTTCCAACACAACTTCTTCTTCTGTTTCAACTGCCTAACTTCCTGTCTTTTTCTGTTTCAACTTCCTAGCGTTTTGTCTTTCTGTCTTGATGGGGTCACCAACATGTTGAAATGTTGAAGGAAAACTGCAAAGGGGGAGTGAGAGCGAGAGCGAGAGCGAGAGAGAGAGAGAAAGAGCGATGATTATTGTGGACGATAAGACATGGAAGAACTAGAGGACATTAGCTATGTGGACATCAACCAGTAAACAAAGGGACTCAAAGGCTCTTAATATGCATTTAGCGGATTTCATGGAAAGATTCAAAGCAATTGGCACATTCCAACTTTCACATCCTGTAGGCCAGCTGTTTTGGGCAAGCCCTCTCATTCCCACCCATATTTCATAGCCATGTACCTATGTGACACGTGGTGCCAAGGAATGCCTGGTGTCGTATGACAAGTGTTGGGAAAGCTACTCTGAAAATATAGTTTACCAATTACTTCACACTGAAAGAATATAAGATACACTAAAGCTACCCTTAAGAAAAATATAGTTTAGTTAACTAAAGTTACTTTGAAAAATTAGTTCTCTACATCCAAACTACTTCATAATAAATGATCATATCTAAATCTGAAATGTCATAGACTAAACATTTGAAGAATAGATCCCTCTGTAGTCAGATGTTAACAGAATGTGTCATTTCTTTTTCAAGTGAAGATTAGGCAGGTGTGATGTCGAAAAATAAAGGAAATTCTTGCTTACTTCACCCAAATGTTTGTTTAAAAAGTAGTGTGTAGTTCTCGTAGTTAGCTACACCATTACATGGCAAACAAATTAATTAACTACTGAAAACACTACCAAGATTTGAATTTAGTTCAACTACCACCAAGCTATTGCAAAATGTAGTTAAATTACTACATGTAGATCACTACCCCAACACTGCTTGTGTCAACCTCACTGTTTGGCTCTTGGTCACTATCCCCTCTGCTCCAACCCTTCCCTTAGTCTGGGTACCAATCTTTTTAGCGAACATTCCACTCCTTGCCACTCCTGTCATTTGGCAAATGATAGGACTGGCAAGGAGTGGAATGTAGTAGCTGATCAGAGAAGGCAACCTACCCTTCCCTATGTCCTTCACAATTTTCTATACTGGAACTTGGGAAACATTTCAACCCTGCACTTGGGGGGCATACACATTTGAATGTACATGCATTCCCCATTTTTCAAACGCAGGGTGTATGACGAATACCCCCCCCCCCCCCCCCCCCACATTTCCTATACACCTCCAGTTTCACTTTGCGCACAATGGGCATTTGTGCCTTCCGTGTCATGCTGCATAGCCAACTCACCTCTAGAAAATTGGCCATATGCCACACAGTATTGGCTTGGCTTTAACGGTTTTCCGTAGGCCTATCGCTGCAGTGATTTATTACAGTACATCCAGTAAATTTAGAAGGGAGATGGTTTGCTATCAACGAATGTTATAGATTAAGTGGGTTTACCCTCTCGAAAGTACCCGAACACCAACCCCTCCTCTTGTGATGTAAGAGTAAGGATATATTTATAAACCTGTAACTATGCATTGTAAACTTGGAGGGAGGGAGGGAGGGAGGGAGGGAGGGAGGGAGGGAGGGAGGGAGGAAAAGAGAGAGAGAGAGAGAGAGAGAGAATAAATATGCATGGCGTATTTTTTTAGTATTAATAGGTGTATAATAAAGAAATCCCCACATGGGGAAGGCACAAGTTGATCAAATGTGACCCAATACATAAAGCCCACAGTGGATCTACAAGGTAATATTTTACCTTTGTCCAATGATTATGCCCAATTATTGATAGAAACCAAAATTGTAGAGATGCGCAACTAGCCTTATGCGTAAAACAATATGTAAAACAAAACTTAATGGGACTCTCTATATATATCCATAAAATAAAACAAATTAAAATATTAACTTCTGCGTGTGGCCTTACCTGGCTGTGCAATATTTTCCTTGACGATTTCATTGGTAATTGCTGGGGGTATATTGCAGTGGCAGATACTTATAATAAATAAATGGCAGAAAATTAGACTTTAGTCTAGACAAGGTCTTCACCGTGACCCTCTCTTTAGCTCGCAAGGTGTGTGTATGTCTGCCGGGTAGCGGTTGTGCTCCCCTCTTCCACAGCTCACCCTTTCGGTTGCCTCCACTCTAGCACGTAAAGTCCCGCGGATTGTATTTAAAGGAGCCCTCTCTTGTCACGCCTAGGCAGCGGGGTTAAGTCCGGAGCAGGTGCCTTTTTTCCCAGGGTAAACAACTTCTGTTCCAGAGGGGGACCCTGCCTTTATAGTGCGCGTGGTATTTACGTCGCGTCACTGGAGCCAGGATCAAGTATCATAATGTCAAATGTATTCTAGCACGACTGTCGTCACTAGCATCCTGGCTATAATTACAAAGCAATGGAGAGAGGGAAAGTGTTTACATAGCTATTTCAGCGCAGCCAATTGGCACCCCTGTTGCTACTCCGCTTTGGGGTGCTTGGCAGATTTCGTCTTGTGACTCCAAGCTACTCTTAATTGTTGACAATTTGTAAGTCGCTCTGGATAAGAGCGTCTGCTAAATGACGTAAATGTAAATGTAAAAGTGTAGCCAAAGTGTAGACTACCGATATGTGACACCTGCGCTAATATGTTTATTTGAAAGGCTTCGCAGCAAAACTGGATGTCTGGCGCGTTGGCAGGTATTTTGATCCCATTTCATGACTATTTTACAGTTTATTTATTTTGACATTGTCAATTGCTGTTGATGAAGGTTGCACAATATCACCGCGCGCGTCATTCGATCCCCGCTAGGTTCTGACCCAAATAGATTATAGACACGACGGACACTTGTCGACATAAACAAGAAGCGTTGCAAAACGCATCTGATAGCTCAAAACCAAAATATATTTGGTGTGGATAGGAATGTGGGAATCCTCAGACTAAGGTAATATGAACCTTTTGTGTGACGGTGTTCTTGACTCAAAGCTATTGCTTGGATGTCCGGAAGACAGGTCATACATTCTTCCTCAATATACGAGCTAGCCAACTGTAGGCCTACTCATTCCTCACTAAATTTACCAGAATGAGTATGGGGACAGGAAGGAGGAGAGAAACACAGTTGATCTTACCTTAGATAAAAGCAGCATAATCGTTGATTAATGTAGGCCTATAGGCTAAATCTGAAAAAGACTACAACACAGGACTGTCACAATCTGTTACAGAAGAAGATGTATTTGTCCACGCTGTACAGTTGCCGAACTTCGGAATTCCGATTGTCGTTGTCCATGGTTCTGAATCGCTGCTATTATGTTTGTTTAACATAATAGCAGCGATTATTTTACACTTGAATAAACAATGAGGAGGAAATTCCACCTTGCCTATCAGAGGGTCCATTTCTTATCTACTAGGCTACCATAAGGTGGTGGCCTACCTTTATGGCTATAGGATTTAATTTTGGAATTGGGCAAAACAGGTGTTATTACGCGAACTCACCTTTACTTGGGGGCAATGAAGGAAGTGGTGGGTAGTGGGTAATGTAGTCTCCAGTGTTGAACATAAGCATACTGTACATCCAGTTATGTGACTGTGGCCTGTGCTTGAATAGGGTGGCTCCTGTGCATTGACCTTGACAACGAATTTAAAAATCAACAGAAACAAACGAACAAAGGATGTGGCTATGCTATTGAGGGAGGCGGGATCACAGGACGAAGAACAGGGTAAACAGAAAGACAAGTTTAAAGATGGTGGCATAGGAGAGGGAGGAGAATAAGACTAGTATGAGGATGAGTAAAATAATGGGCTGAAACATCTGGGCAGAGGAAGAACAGAACATGAGTGTCAACAGAGGAGAAATGAGGGAAAATAGAGTCAGAGGAAGAGGGAGAATAGAGTCAGCAGAATATTCAACGGTCAGGGACAAGTGAAGAGACTATGCTGATACAGCCAAACCATATCTGAAAGTGGGTTATGGCCAGGTCTTATGTCTCTTTAATTAAAACACATGCATGCATGCATGCACGCACACATGCACACACACACACACACACACACACACACACACACACACACACACACACACACACACACACACACACACACACACACACACACACACACACACACACACACACACACACAACACACACAACACACACACACACACACACACTTCCACTCAAATAGAGTGATAGTCTACTTAACCTAACAATAAGATTACAGCACGGCTGCTTAGACTTACAGAGAACCACATGCTGCTAAAGCTGGACCTCACTCTACACCTCAAATACAGAGACCCAGCCTGTATCAATTAAAAGGGTAGAAGGCTAACATGTCTGGTCTTTGATGGCTTATGAACAGAAACACACACATATACGCACACACAAGTACACACACACACACACATACACACACACACGCACGCACGCAAGCACACGCACACACACACACACATACACACACTTACCGAAAGTGGCTCCTCTTCCCTGTCCTCAGGTTTGGGCACCTCCAGTCTGTCTATGAAGCCCTGTAGCTCCTTCCTGAAGGCCTTCATCTGGGCATTGATCCTGTACAGCAGCTCATGCTCCCTGATCCTCCCCCCCTCCTCCTCCTCCTCCTCACCCCCGCTGCCCCGCCCATACAGGTCACTGTTGGAAACGTACACCCGCGCCTCTGCGATGATGGTTGCTGTGTCGGCGATGAGCCGGTCGATGGTCCTGCCAAGACGCTCCGCCTCCACCCGGATGTCGATCATCTGCTGGCGATCCCGTAGGCTGCGGGGCAGGAAGTGGGTGGCGGCCTCTGGGGGTGGTGTGTAGAGACCCCGGGTGGGTGTGAGGCAGCGGGTTTGGTTCCGCACCTCATCTGAGTCACTTTCCCCGCCCACTGGGCCCTCGCGTTTGCGGTGCGGGGGCAGGAGGCGGGAGGAGGAGGAGTCATCATCGCTCTCGCGGCGCACGCTTGGGCCTGTCCCTCCCGCGTCGCTATCTGCATCGCTGTCCCGGGGGCTTGTGCCCCCCCTCAGGGCCAGGTGGGAGGCCAGGTCGTAGCGCTGCATGTTGGAGAGCAGAACACGGTTCTCATACTGCAGCTGCATCACCTGGGGAGAGAGAAGAGGACTGGATGAATGAGGCATGCTATGTTTATGACGTTTTATCTTTGTTTTCATCTTTGATTCCAGCCATATCTTTTTGCTTAACATATACCATACTTTCGATGTATGTTAGGTCACAGAAATAAAAGGGAAAAACAACGCATGGAAAACCATCCCACCTTCCCACTGAGATCATTAATCTGTAGCCGGGCCGTCTTCAGTTCCTCCTGCAGTGCATCTGCCTTCTCTGTGCTTACTCCTCCTCCTGCTACCCCTCCTCCATGCCTCGCCCCTCCCTCGTGGGTCCCAGCCTTAAACCTGAGCTTGTTGAGTTCTCCCATCACCCTCTTGTTGTGATCCTCAGCGTCTGCCAGGTTCCTCCTCAGTAACTCTGCCTCGTCCTCCACCAGCTGCAGCTGCTGCCTCAGCTCTGTCATTGCCTCCCCATGGCCCCGGCCCGCCCCCACCCCACCCAAAGCCCCGCCACCGGACCCCCCTTCTCCCTCCCCTTCTCCCCTGAGGTCATCCAGCTCGGCCCTCAGTCCCCGGTTCTCCACCTGGAAACACATGACATGAAAAACAATTGGTCAGTTATGTTATGAATCACTAGCATCCTCTTTCTGAAAGCAGTTTTGAACGGAACTGATAGAAATGCTTGGAACAGTTGTGTTCCCAAGTGCAAACTTATTTCCTGGTTTCTTTGATGACATAACCTACATCAAACACTCTGCATCACATCCTGTCTCTCTCACCTCCAGCTCCACGATCTTTCTCCCCAGGATGTTAGCCTCCTCCTCCACCAGACGCAGACGCAGCTTCAGCTCGGACTCGCGGGTGGTGGGGGGTCCCCCGGCCTCACCCTTGGGGTGGGGGCTGTCTAGGTCCCCGTAGAAGGAGCGGTACTTCTGTAGCTCCGCCTCCAGACGGTCCTTTTCCTTGTCGATCTTAGCTGTCTTCTTCCTCATCAACACGGCCTCCTCCTTGATGAAGGCCAGCTGGCACTTGAGGTCCTCGTTGTGGTCCTGAGAGAGAGGGAAGTGGAAGGAAGATAATGCATTTCAGATGTACAGTACAGCAGACACAACTCTCACTGGTATTTGTAACAAAATCACTTGTTATTGTTTTCTAGGATAAAACCATTTGATGATGAGCCCTCACCTCTGTTGGGGTCTGGGCAGACTTCTTGTCTGACCTTTGAACCTCCTTGCTTCCTCTTCTCTTCTGAGACTGATGGGAATTGAATAAAATAATAAACCTATGTAATATGTATTATAGCAATATATGTGCTGTATAGATGATATAGTGTACTGTGGGTGTATGCTCTTACCTCCTTGACTTTGTCCAGCTCATTCTGAAGGGCCTGTTTGGTCACCTCCACCTCGATGAGTTTCTGCCTCAGTTTCTCATTCTCGTCCTCTGTCTTTGTGCGTTTCTCCTCCACATTCTCCAGCTCATGGTGCAGTCTCACAGACACATCCTTCGCTACCTGGATTACACCGAATCAGGGACATTGATTAAAAGTTGATTGAATCAATTATCTTGGTGAGTGGACAGCGCATCAACTAACTAATTAAATTAGTTTAAATATCAAGCCTATGCTCCCTCCCTCCCTCCCTCCCTCCATACCTTCAGGTCCTGCTCCAGGCTCCTTAGTAGTTCTTCATCGATCTCTCCTGTCTGGGCGTAGCGCAGCTTCTTCCTCTCAGCCTTCCTCAGCCGGTACTGGAGGATCCGGCAGTTCTTATTGGCTCGCTCCAGCTCACGCCTCATTTCCTGCAGCTGGCACGTGTCCTCCTCATAGAAGGTGTCACGCATCTCGTCCATCTCCGTCCTCATCTCCTCAATCTCCATCTGGGACATCAATAAGAGTGATCAGTCAGTCAGGCACTGGTAGCGTACAGGGGGCGTGGGGCTCACGATTCAGTGTTATTGGTGTTTAGGTCCTCAGAACATGATGTAATTGGATAGGGACAAGCTAATCTGAACCGATCAATAGGGTATTTTTCATTATTACAGATGTAGGATCTTAATTTGATCACCCTGTTGCTGGAGAACTGTCCTGCAATGCATGAAATTTAAAACATGTCCTGTATTTGAGGTTTAAAAAGGCTTCTGAAGTTTGTAATTTCCACTTTGAAATTTAGACTTGATTTTCTCTTACACTACCGGTCAAAAGTTTTAGAACACCTACTCATTCAAGGGTTTTTCTTTATTTTTACTATTTTCTACATTGTAGAATAATAGTGAAGACATCAAGACTATGAAATAACACATATGGAATCATGTTATAATCAGAAAAGTGTTAAACAAATCAAGATATATGTTATATTTCAGATTCTTCAAATAGCCACCGTTTGCCTTGATGACAGCTTTGCACACTCTTGGCATTCTCTCAACCAGCTTCATGAGATAGTCACCTCAATGCATTTCAATTAACAGGTGTGCCTTCTTAAAAGTTAATTTGTGGAATTTCTTTCCTTCTTAATGCGTTTGAGCCAATCAGTTGTGTTGTGACAAGGTCGAGGGGGTATGCAGAAGATAGCCTTATTTGGAAAAAGACCAAGTCCATATTATGGCAAGAACAGCTCAAATAAGCAAAAAGAAACGACAGTCCATCATTACTTTAAGACATGAAGGTCAGTCAATACGGAACATTTAAAGAACATAGAAAGTTTCTTCAAGTTCAGTTGCAAAAACTATCAAGCGCTATGATGAAACTGGCTCTCATGAGGACCGGTACAGGAATGGAAGACCCAGAGTTACCTCTGCTGCAGAGGATAAGTTCATTAGAGTTACCAACATCAGAAATTGCAGCCCAAATAAATGCTTCAAGGAGTTCAAGTAACAGAGACATCTCAACATCAACTGTTCAGAGGAGACTGTGTGAATCAGGCCTTCAAGGTCGAATTGCTGCAAAGAAACCACTACTAAAGGACACCGATAAGAAGAAGAGACTTGCTTGGGCCAAGAAACATGAGCAATGGATATTAGACCGGTGGAAATGTGTCCTTTGGTTTGGAGTCCAAATTGGAGATTTTTGATTCCAACCGCCGTGTCTTTGTGAGACGCGGTGTGAGTGAACGGATGATCTCTGCATGTGTAGTTCCCAACGTAAAGCATGGAGGAGGAGGTGTTATGGTGTGGGGGTGCTTTGCTGGTGACACTGTCTGTGATTTATTTACAATTTAAGGCACACTTAACCAGCATGGCTACCACAGCATTCTGCAGCGATACGCCATCCCATCTGGTTTGGGCTTAGTGGGACTATCATTTGTTTTTCAACAGGACAATGACCCAACACACCTCCAGGCTGTGTAAGGGTTATTTTACCAAGAAGGAGGGTGATGGAGTGCTGCATCAGATGACATGGCCTCCACAATCCCCCGACCTCAACCAAATTGAGATGGTCTGGGATGAGTTGGACCGCAGAGTGAAGGAAAAGCAGCCAACAAGTGCTCAGCATATGTGGGAACTCCTTCAAGACTGTTGGAAATGCATTCCAGGTGAAGCTGGTTGAGAGAATGCCAAGAGTGTGCAAAGCTGTCATCAAGACAAAGGGTGGCTATTTGAAGAATCTCAAATCTCAAATATATTTTGATTTGTTTAACACATTTTTCATTACTACATGATTCCATATTTGTTACTTCATAGTTTTGATGTCTTCACTATTATTATCCAATGTAGAAAATAGTACAAATAAAGAAAAACCCTTGAATGAGTAGGTGTTCTAAAACTTTTGGCCGGTAGTGTCTGTAAAATGTATCAACCCCTACATAAATGTCCATTAATTATAATCCACATAAGAATTCACATTTCCTGTTGCTGCAGAATTATTTTCCTACTGTAGCAAACTGGTTCAAATTAAGATCCTACATCTGTATGTCAATCAATGATTAGAAGTAGGCTAAACACAGGATAGTGCTTTTTATTGTTCTGAATAGGGAGGAGGGGTTTGGCTTGTGTAGGCTATAGGTCTACCTAAATCATTTAGCTTTCACAAGCATTTCATAACAAACCAAGGGAGGTAGACACATTTCTACATCAGTTCTTTGTAATGTTATGGAAAGAATAATAACTATTCAGTTAGACTACTGGTGGGCTAAAAAAGATTATTGCTTCATTATATCAACATTCAGTTTTCCAGTATAGGCCTAATGATACATCTTGGGGAATATGCCTGGTATAACGTTAGCAATACTAACACAGTTGCCGTGTTATAATCAAACACGAAATAAGTCTACCTTTTCACTTAGGCCTACTATGTACAAGAGTTAATTAAGCATGCATTAAATGCATTATATGAACATAGGGCTATGTCAGTGCCAAACTCTGGGCAATAGGCCTGATTTCACAATCAATCTTAATCTTAATAAAACGTGGTCCATACATACAATGTGTTTGCATACATTGAACTTAATTAATTGTATGTCAGTGATGCCAAACCTTGAGATCTTCATTCTCATCCACCAGTCTCTCTAGCTCGTCCTCCAGGCCCTCGTCTTGCTGTGTCACGGGCTCCGCCTCTATGGCCTCTGTAGCCGGCTCCGGCTCGGCCGCGGCCTCGGCGCCCGGCGCGTTTTCTGCCTTGGTGTGCATCTTGCTGCCGCTTCTCTTCAGCTTTTTATGTAGGTGGAAGTGGATGAGTTCAGTCTGCAAGCAACCCCCGCTCCACAGACCAAGGCCCGGCCCGCAGCCCACGTATTCCCCGCTTCTGTCCCAGCGGCAGCCCGCTGATGCTGTCACTGCCTCCCCTCCCCGCTTCTTCGCTTTCCCTTTCACCGAACCCGCGGTGCTGGAGCCGTCTGGCCTGTATGACCCAATATGTTGGGAACACTCGCCTTTGAGGCAGGATAAACGTAACGAGGAACGACCGGTTTGAGAATCTATCGGCTGGTTAAATATCTCCTCCGTACCTTCCTCTCTGCTAGCATCCGCCTTATTTGCATTGCAATTGACAGCATCAGTTTCAGCACCATCCGGGTGAAAAGCTTCCACGTCGCATTTCTCGATCGCCTTCTCCCTCACAACAGCGGTCCTAAGCCCCTCGTTTACCACCTTATTCCTCGATCCTCCTTTGGAAACGATATTTTTGGATCTGCTGGAGGATTTCGGGGCCGGTTTTGAGGCGCATTCCCGGATTTTTGTCGGCGAGGTAGCCCGATGCTGCCTCCTCCCTGTGCTATTGTCTGATGCTGCCGCTGGAAAATCCGCAGCGCCGTTTGCGGCAGAGTTAATCTTGTCATCCATCAGTCCTGACGTTTCCACTCGCCCATCTCAAAGTATGCTTTTATTATTATTTATGGCAATAATAAAACCTTAATATAAGTATTGATATAGCCTATTATCCTTATGATAAAAGGAAAAGGATACAATAAAATATGATGGTTAACCGGTTCCACAATTTATAGGCCTACTATAAATAGAAAGTCTGGGTGAAATGAACAAAATCTCGTAGCCTATGCTGCAAATGAGACATGACGCCTGCAGAGTGACATTGAAATATTATTTTTGACTTTTTTTTAACACAAGGTCAATAGAATATAACTTATAGAGTGGATAACAAGGCTACTATTCTGGATGTATAGCCTAGTGATACAAGTGATACTATTAAATGGGTTTATACTTCTATAGTGAGTTTTGTAAAGTGCTGTAACTTTTGTTCAATAAAAAAGAAACATTCGTTAATAAATTAGGCTGCAGATGGTCAACAAACACACAAATATTTCCATGCGCTTTCTGTAAAACGTCATATCAAAACGTGTTATTTTAGTGAGGCTTCATACCGCGAGAGAATGTGCAGTTTCAGACCAGCGGCAGTGGGCTGGAGAGATGCTGACACAAGGTACCACCAGGCACTGCAGGGGCACGACTAGCCACACAGTATTCATGACGTGTGATATCAACGTCAAACCAGGAAACAAACAATTGAATATATTCTCCAGGCCCATTGTAAAGGACCCATTGTAGCCTTTAGTTACTGTCTACACAACTTGAAAAACATCCACACAATGATTAGGCTATAGTTTTTGTTTTGTTTTCAAATGTAATTATTTTTCCAATAACTACAATCTTCAGACCTGGGAACAGCTGGTGAATAAACTCTCTGGCAAATCAAATACATAGATTGAGAAAAGGAAACCAGTAGGCCTAGTACTACTTACTAGTGGTTCAAGAAATCAGGAACCCTTATTGTGCATGCAATGATTTGTGGTGGCCATGGGAGGGTGGTCTCCACCCATCTATTAGCACCATCATAAAGGGCTCATCTGTGGTGTGCAGACAAGGTGATACTAAGGATAAGCTGACTGTCTCTTGGGCACACGCTCATGCACACATTTTTTTTATGGGAATAATAAAGATGTAAATTAACTGTAAACATTAATTAGGCTACCTTTTAATGTGGCATGAATACAACCAGTGATGATGTTTTCATCTGATTGTCTAACAAATCACTTTAAAAAGTAGGCTACCTGTGGATGTTCTCCAATCCAAAAGAATTCTGGCATCCAAACAGTGCACTGCATGCATACTCACCATTTGATGAATGGAAATAGACATCTGTTTACAAAACACCAAAAAGTGTGCCCAATGACATTTGGCCATTCCCATTGATTAGGCCTACATTAATGGATGTATCTTGCTGACAAATTGACAATTTTTGTAGCCTGAAAAGTCGTTTTTAGTTTTTGTTGTCCTAGGATACCTGGCAAAAATGCTTGCTCGCTAGCCTAACTTTCTTTCATGGGCAAAAATGAGCCAGCTAGTTAACATTAGCCTACTGCATAAAGCTACATATTGAACTTCCATCCTCTCAAGCCAGGGGCACAATGTATGAATTTATGGTTGGATTAGAATTGTCGTTATAATCATTGGCCGGTACAGAGAATTAAGTAAAACCACAAGTCCAAATCCCTATCTCCATCCATGGCTAATTTAGAAAAGGGCCAATTTTAGCTAGCTAGCTAGCCACCGGAGGACAACGCGATGCAACAATTACATTTTTTTCTGTCATTGATGTTTTGCTTTTGATGTAATTGGTGTGAAGCCATATCCATACTGGCTTCCATCACTCAGTTCAGCTCAATGCTGAATGGCCATTATTTTTTAAACAAATGTATCAAGGGATGCCAAATGCTCGCTGGCTTCTCTTGCATTCAATGCTACGGGCGGCAACAATGTCATACTCTTTTTGACCAGACTACATCAGATAGATGGGCTACACAGAGAATGACAGAGGGGCGCTTTTTTGCTCGCTCAGATGCTTTCTTCGGTGAGATAGATTTAGCCTCTTGCAAAATGAAAGGAAAATTATGAAACACAGAGAGACGAAAGATACATTATTTTGTATGTTTTTTTCTTTTTGTCTTGGTAAAGTTTTTGAGGGAAGCCTGGATTCCAGTCCTGAAGGTTTAAAGCCTTGACCCTCTGACGGCGCCGACAGACTGTAAGGTTCTGTATTTATTTTCTTAGTCAACCTTGTGTTCTTGAACGTAGCCCTGTCTTTCATTTTTGTTCATTGATTTCACCTGTGTTTGTTACTCACCTGGTCTCATTATCTCCTTATTTAGTTCAGCTCATTCTGTTTGTGCCTTGTGGGGTATTGTTCATTTTGACTCTACTAAGCCTTTTCCTAGCTTGTTTGTGAGAACCAGTTATAGCCTTCAGTCCTAGTTTTTGATTCTCCTGCCTGTTTGCCTACCTGTGTATGACCATTGCCTCCCTGTGACCACGATTCCTGCCTTTTGCGAAGGCGAAATAAACACCTGCCGCGCTCTGTGTGTAAATCTACACCTTTTTCTCCCTGAGTATTCATTACACAGACATGGCAGCTCTGCTCTGCTGCTTCTAGCTGCCTTGGCAACCATGAATACACGCCACTGGCAAAGATATTGCTGAAGCAACCAAGCATACATGCATGGCAGATTAAAAGCATAAAGTTTCACATTTTTTATGGTCACGTGTACAGTGAAATGCCTTTCTTGCATGTTTTTTCCCAACAATACAGTGATTAATATCAAAAGTACTGTAAAAAAAATAATTTAAAAAGTAAAGTAGAATAAAAACACACAAGAAATAAAGATAAGAAGAACGCAAGAAAGTAAGGTCGGAAGTTTATATACACTTAGGTTGGAGACATTAAAACTCGTTTTTCAACCACTCCACAAATTTCTTGTTAACAAACTATAGTTTTGGCAAGTCGGTTAGGACATCTACTTTGTGCATGACACAAGTAATTTTTCCAACAATTGTTTACAGACAGATTATTTCACTTACAATTCACTGTATCACAATTCCAGTGGGTCAGAAGTTTACATATACTAAGTTGACTGTGCCTTTAAACAGCTTGGAAAATTCCAGAAAATGATGTCATGGCTTTAGAAGCTTCTGATAGGCTAATTGACATAATTTGAGTCAATTGGAGGTGTACCTGTGGATGTATTTCAAGGCCTACCATCAAACTCAGTGCCTCTTTGCTTGACATCATGGGAAAATAAAAAGAAATCAGCCAAGACCTCAGAAAAAATATTATAGACCTCCACAAGTCTGGTTCATCCTTGGGCAAATCAATCCCAGAACAACAGCAAAGGACCTTGTGAAGATGCTGGAGGAAACAGGTACAAAGTATCTATATCCACAGTGAAACGAGACCTATATCGACATAACCTGAAAGGCCGCTCAGCAAGGAAAAAGCCACTGCTCCAAAACCGCCATAAAAAAGCCAGACTACAGTTTGCAACTGCACATGCGGACAAAGATCGTACTTTTTGGAGAAATGTCCTCTGGTCTGATTAAACAAAAATAGAACAGTTTGGCCATAATGACCATTGTTATGTTTGGAGGAGAAAGGGGGGTACTTGCAAGCCGAAGAACACCATCCCAACCATGAAGCACGGGGGTGGCAGCATCATGCTGTGGGGGTGATTTGTTGCAGGAGGGACTGGCGCATTTCACAAAATAGATGGCATCATGAGGAAGGAAAATGATGTGGATATATTGAAGCAACATCTCAAGACATCAGTCAGGAAGTTAAAGCTTGGTCGTAAATGGGTCTTCCAAATGGACAATGACCCCAAGCATACTTCCAAAGTTGTAGCAAAATGGCTTAAGGACAACAAAGTCAAGGTATTGGAGTTGCAATCACAAAGCCCTGACCTCCATCCTATAGAAAATGTGTGGGCAGAATTGAAAAAGCGTGTGCGAGCAAGGAGGCCTACAAACCTGACTCAGTTACACCAGCTCTGTCAGGAGGAATGGGCCAAAATTCACCCAACTTATTGTGGGAAGCTTGTGGAAGGATACCCGAAACCTTTGACCCAAGTTAAACAATTTAAAGGCAATGCTACCAAATACTAATTGAGTGTATGTAAACTTCTGACCCACTGGGAATGTGATGAAAGAAATAAAAGCTTAAATAAATAATTCTCTCTACTATTATTCTGACATTTCACATTCTTAAAATAAAGTGGTAATCCTAACTGACCTAAGACAGGGAATCTTTACAAGGATTAAATGTCAGGAATTGTGAAAAACTGATTTTAAATGTATTTGGCTAAGGTGTATATAAACTTCCGACTTCAACTGTACATATAAATGCCTTCAGAGAGTATTCATACCCCTTGATTTATGTCACATTATGTTGTGTTACAGCCTGAAATCAAAATTGATTACATCTTTTTTTTCTCTAACCCATCTTCACACAATACCCCATAATGACAAAGTGAAAATATGTTTTTAGAATATTTGATAATTTATTAAAAATGAAATACAGAAATATCTCATTTACATAAGTATTCACACCCCTGAGTCAATACATGTTAGAATCACCTTTGGCAGCGATTACAGCTGTGAGTCTTTATGGGTAAGTCTCTAAGAGCTTTGCACACCTGGATTGTACAATATTTTCACATTATTCTTTTTAAAATTCTTCAATCTCTGTCAACTTGGTTTTTGATCATTGCTAGACAGCCATTTTCAAGTCTTATCATAAATGTTCAAGCCGATTTAAGTCAAAACTGTAACTAGGTCACTCAGGAATTTTCAATGTCGTCTTGGTAAGCAATTCCAGTGTATATTTTGACCTTTGTGTTTTAGGTTATTGTCCTGCTGAAAGGTGAATTTGTCTCCCAGTGTCTGTTGGAAAGTAGACTGAACCAGGTTTTCCTCTAGGATGTTGCCTGTGCTTAGCTTTATTCCATTAATTTTTATCCTATAAAACTCCCTAGTCCTTGCCGATGACAAGCATACCCATAACATGATTCAGCCACCACCATGCTTTAAAATATTAAGAGTAGTACTCTGTGATGTGTTATGTTGGATTTG